TGTCCCTAAACCCTTGACCCTAAATTGTAGTTTCCAGTTGCTGTTCCATTTTTACTATCATGAAGCTCTTATATAGCCCCTATAGCCAATAGTAGCTTCAATGTTCTGTTCCATCCGCTGAGCCCTAGATATCCCAGGTACGTGCGTGGCAGGCTGGTCGCAGTTGCTGCAGCCCGTGGCGGGTGGACTCTGGTCCTGAAGCCAGCTGGCAAGACGGCTGGCCTCAGATACACAAAGGATATAGGGACATTATAGGGATTAAAAAGGGATAATGGAAAANNAAAAGAACATGGAAAATAAGGGGTTTAGATGGGTCTAGGGTATAGGGAATTACAAGGGATTATGGAGGGTTTAGGGTTACTTGGTGGGTTGTTATACAAGGTGTATAGGGACACTACCCGAGTAGTGGAGAATCAATGTAAACGAAAGCCGGATAGGAAGTGGAAAGGACAGTATGCTCTGCGCAGCTCTGGAGATTTGTCACACAAGATCTTCCTGTGACAGATCAGACAATGTATTGCTGCACCTGCATTCCCCTTCAAAAAACAGCAGAGCCTGGGCAAGCAATGGGTGCGGATCAGCGCCTCGAAAAGTCCGAGCAGAAATCAAGAAGCTCGAAGCTTCTATCATGTGACAGGCTGATTTGACCCCAGAGGATGCGCGGCCGGGGCGTATCCTTGATTTTTTCAGCCTAATCTTCTAATTCCGCCTGGCTTGAAGTATGAAGGAGGAAGACTCTGGGGCCTTCAGGTCCTGAGCCAAGAAAGTTGAGGCCCGGCAGGCCCCAAAGACCACAACCTCTCTGCCTTTCACACCATCGCAGAAAGGCGGCAGACTGGTTTTGGAATGCACGGTTAACGCCAAATGCTGGCATTGGCCCGGTCCAGCCTCCATGTTTGCCGTTCCGCAGCCTGTTCTTTCCCAATCCGCGCATGACAACATGAAACGGATGAACCATTTCAGCAGTTTCCTCCGGAAGTTGCCAGGAACGTATGCTTGCCTGCTACTCCTCCCTAAGTCTTGTGAAGCGGCGTAAAATGTTGCTAGTCCTCACCCCACAAGCTGCAAATGAGCTTCGACCCCACACGTTAGCCCATTGCAGTTGAGAGTCTCCATGCTCCACTGCCCTCGCCATTCTGGACGCGGCACCTCGGCGGCGGCGTTGGCGCTGCTGGCGGCCCCCTGGCACATGCGCAAACAGAAATCAGCGATATGCAAGAGCTGCAAGGACGCAATCTTGCCTGCTCGCAGCTGTCTCCTGGTCTCAACCTCCCCTGTCAGCAGGTTGAAGCGACGAAGGCTTGGATTCTCGGCATCATCCACCAAGATGCCATCCACCGTGGTCTTGTCTTCTGGGTGCTCCTCCTCTTCTTCCTCTGCTTCGTCTTGGCTGGAGACGTATGGAGAGAGGAAATAGGTGCAAGCGAGGCCTGTCAATGAGCCGAAGCAGCCCAGTGCCAGGATCATGAACATCGCACGCTCGTCATCCGATAGCTTGGCCCAAAAGGTCATGCGCATCAAGTCCTCCCTTGCAGACAGTGTAGAGTATGGACACATGGAGGTGAAGTTGTCCTTGTCCACAGACTTGCCCACATGAAACTTTAGGGTGTCGCCATCCTGGTGCTCATACTCTTCCAAGAGCTCCCAGAATCCAAGGGTGCCACATCGTATCGTCACCTCTGGATCATTGCCTTGGTGCAGCAGCCTTACAGAGAAAATGCCTCATCGGTGGAGCACGCCCAGCTGTCTTGCAAACTGGCGGCGTTGGGCACAGGCCAGGCGCAGGATCGAGCCAACCCGCAAGCCGCCTCCACTGTCCTGCATTGAGCGGTGCATCCTGCAACTGAAGCAGAACGCCAAGAAGACTTATGCCGAGGTACAACGATCAGGTGCTGGTGCATGGGCCAAGATGGGCAATCTGGAAAGCATGGCCTCAAAGCCAGGGCAGACCGGAACGCACTGTCTGTGCCGCTGCTATGCCATCATGCTGCATCATACGCCACAATGCCGAGTGGCAGAAGGAAAGAGGTTAGTGTAATGAGAGCTTCCCGAAATTAGGGGT